AAATATGCGAACGTCGTCATCGCGTTCATGTCTTTGAAAAAAACATAAAAATTGAAGAAATTTTATAAGAACCGCAAACCCAATGCAACAACGGAAGTAAAGAAATTTAAAAAAAAAACAAAATAAAAAATTCAATAGAATTATTTAAGTTTCATATTTTTGATTAGCGTAATATTTTTAAATCGATCTCAATTGATCTGAGAAATCCTAATTTTTTTTTGCTCTCTCCCCGTGACCACTTTTACTAAATGAATTCATTCTAATTAATAAGTTACTGTTTATGAGGCCAACACTTTGTATGGTGTGACGTTTATATATAAATGTTTAGAATAACATATATATGTACATATAAAAGTGTGCGTATTATACATTGACTATCCGAAAGGCACTAATAATAAAACCATACAAAAAAAAAAACAAGAACGCATTAAAAAAAAAAAAACAAAAAAAAAAACAAAAATTATATTCAATCGAGACCGAATCTTTTACACCCATCCTCGTTATTCTAGAAAAAAGAAAAGAAAAGAAATTTTCATTCATATTCGATAATATTGAGTGTCGCGCGATTAATTTTTTTCATTTCTAGAATAAAGTGGAAATTTATATGGTTTAGGTGTTGAACTTTGAGTAAGAAACAAAAAAAACACGGAAAACAAACGTGTTTACTGTTTTTGCTATATGGACGAGTGGGCGTTGTAGGCGTGTTCCTTCAAATTGTTTTGCAAGTTTGTAAGCAATATCTTCGAATATGCGAACGGGAGAATGATTACAATTGAGCAAACGGACAGATATACAACGAATGGAGGGGCAATGCTTAGGTGGTGCATTCCGAATTTGTAGCTGATCAAAAAATTTATATACATTATGGGACTTTTGAAGCGTATTCGTGCGCGTTATAAAAGTATTGAAAGAAAAATTAAACTTTAATATACTATAATATTGAGTAGGTGTGGTCCATTTTTTCGATTTTTGTACAGGTACTCCAGCATTGCGCGTAAAGTATACGGTCAAATTTTTTGCAAATTTACTTGTTATAGTTTATGAGTAATGAGCAAAAGTCCAATTTTGAAAAACAAAGGTGTTCTCAGTTTACGTGGCACTGCGGGTATTTCCTTCGATCGATTTGGCCCATTTTCAATGCGAATCTGCGTGCAAGAACTCCCAATGTTTCTGCCAAATTGAAAGTCGATAGCTTCATTTTTGCGGCCATAAGAATGTTTACAAAAGACGTACGTACCGACGGACGGACATGCTTAAATCGTTGCAGATTTTAATGTTGGTTAAGAATATATATACTTTGTGGAATTTCGGAAGCTTTCTTTTAGACTTTGCAAATGTTTTGATAAAATGAATATACCTCTCATCATTCGGTGATGGATATGAAAAAAGTGCTATAAGAGAAGATAATTTTTTTTTTTTTTTTTTTGGATTGGAACAATCATTCCTATAAAAATATTTCTCCCTTTGATAAAATTGCAAGCAGTACCGCACACAACTAGCGCAACAGTGATCGGTCTTGATATTTAAAGCAAATAAAAACATTCTAGTTAGGCAAGCGCAACCATTACATTATATTATCTCATTCTCATACCGCTTCACCTAATAGAAATTTTTCGTATGTTGTGAAATATGAAAGCATATGGAAGCTCTTATGTTGTGAGAAAATAACGTCTGGAACATATGTTTTACATTGTGCAATGCATATTTATTATGAAAATGGTAACAAAACAGATTTAGTAAATTGCGTAAAATTGTTATCTTAATTATGATTGGTAGATTTCATTTTACTTTTTACCCTAGATCTATTTTCATATACTCTTCAAGATCTTCTCCTCCCGCTATTCAATATATTGCGAGCGTGCAGACAGACATAGTCTTTAGTTGCATTGATCACCACCAAACATCGGGGTTGTAACAATTTTATTGTTTTGTACTTAAGATTTAAAAAAGTATTCCTCAACGATCTTCTAAAGTATAGGAATATGGATGGATGGACTTGTCGGAGTAAGCTTCGCGAACAATTTCGTCAAATCTACTTATCCGTGTGACCGCTAAGATTAAAATAGAAAGCTGCCACTTCGTATATATGTATTCTTAACTAAATAATGCGTTTGAAAATCGTAAGATCTTTCGCTAAAATCATAACAAAATATTGCTAAAGGGTTGATGTATGTTATGAGGTGCCTCACTTGCAATATGTAATATATATTGTAATATTGTATGTGTTTATATGTAGTTTGAAATTCTTAGTCGATCTCATATCGTCATCGCTCAGTTTATCGGCAAGTGAAACTCGTAGCTCTATAAATTGACTTTGACGTGAAGTGCACGACAATTGTAAAATTTGATTGTGATACGGGCTCAAACACGATTGCAATTACGTGGTACGTATCAAAGATCCACAATAATGCGCGCATATTAGCTTCCGTTTTTTTTTTTTTTTAATCGCTTATAACAAATATTACGTAATTGACGCTTTATTAATTAACTCGTTTATTCTGCATATATTTATAACAGATACATTGAGACAGACCTTCTTTTCACTTGTAACACGATTGTCTACACAACAACATTTCCATGTTTATCATTATTCGGTCAGTTAGTCAATCTTTATTAGTCGTCGTCAGAGCATATAAACAAACGCTAATAACGGTAAAACCAGCATGAAATACATTAAAAATGAAATATGAATGAACTCATTTTACATATTATATTTTTTGTCTCTTTAGCACAAGATAATAAAACTTATTGAAGTTTCTTTATACCCATCACCGATGCATGAGGAGTGCATACATTTTGTCAAAACATTTGCAACGTCTAAAAGAAAGCTTCCGAGATTCCACAAAGTATATATATATTCTTGACTAACATTAAAATCTGCAACGATGTCCGTCCGTACGTCCGTCCGTACGTCTTTTGTAAACATTCTTATGGCCGCAAAAATGAAGCTATCGACTTTCAATTTAGCAGAAACATTGAGAGTTCTTGCACGCAGATTCGTATTGAAAATGGGCCAAATCGATCGAAGGAAATACCCACAGTGCCACGTAGGCTGAGAACACCTCTGTTCTTCAAAATTGGACTTTTGCTCATTACTCATAAACTATAACAAGCAAATCTACAAAAATGTTACAGTACCTGTACAAAAATGAGAAGAATGGACTACGCCGACACAATATTATAGTGAATCACAATTTAATTTTTTTTTCAATGCCTTTATAACGTGCAGAAACAAGCTTCAAAATCCTTATAAAGTATACAAATTCTTGGCCAGTTTCAAATTTGAAATGCACCTAAATATGTCCGTCTGTTCGCCTGTCTATCTGTCTGTCATAACAGTGTTGACTATATAAAAAATTCAGTCACGACCGAATATAATTTTCTTACTTGTCAAATTTACTTATGAACCGACAACTTTCACACTTGCCTATAGCACGGCTTGAAGGGATTTGTGGAACCAAAACTGCGCGATTCGAAAACGATCTACCACAAAGTTTTTCCTCAATCCAATATATTGCATTATATTTGTATGCAATACTTTATTGGCATTTGTCCTAATCAAAAAAATCTAAATTCATACGCCATCTCACATATTATTTAGACTTTGCAGATTTTGCAAGTTTCGAAAAAACGTTAAAATTTAAACCTATAATTTAAAATAAGGAGAGCAGGAGAATGATTGAAGTATGGATGACTTTACTGGATCCTAACAACCGACTTTATAATAAAGAGTGCATATATTTTATGGCATCTCCAATGTGTATGTTTTCAAGACACTCTATTCCAAAAATCTCGCATCCGATATAGTATGAAAGATATTGAAATAAATTAAAATACTTAATGCGCACATAAATAATGTAAGTTAATTAGCAAGAGTCAAATATACGTTCCATTATACCACAAAATGCACTGCACTTTTTACGTTTCTGACTCAATTGACCGATTTTTTGCTGTTCCAAGAAAAAGTCACTTGTCAATATTTAATATATTAATATCATCAAAACATGGCTGAAGGAGGTTTAGAGTTTCGCGATATGAACGCAGTCTTCATATTTGCCAGTTTGATATGAAATTTATTATGAATGTTCACGTGGCTCGACCTACGGCAAAAAAATAAAACAAAAACAATTATATTTACTACAGCCCTAACACTACGCGAACGATTGCGTTTGTTTAGGAATAGCAAGTAATTCGCGAAATAAAAGAAAACACAAGGCGGAATGGTGACACATTTATACCGCACCCTTTAATAAAAATTTATTGATCTTACACTTGATGATTTCAAGCTTACTGCCTCTTTGCGACCACATAGTGACCTTTTTAAAATATAATTTACTAAACGTATATAATCCAGGTTTCAAGTACACATAATGTATATGTATCTTCCCCCTTAGTTTAAATTTTATTATAAATTTAATTGTATGTATGTATTCTATTAAACAGCATAGCGCCTGAACTACGTACAATTTAATGCATTATGGAAATAAATACTTGTTTATGTTATTCTTCTCTCTTTTTATATTCCCAACTTTCTCTTATTTTTCCTCTTCATATTCCAACCCGCTCCGACGTGAAATTGCAAAGGTCGTTCTTTTAGCAGTACGCTCTTTTTTCTCATTTTCAAACCGTAATTGGTTTCATTATTTTTGTTATCGACGTTTTCGATATAAGTTGTTGCAGTAATTGTTTAGGTTTTTCTTAGGCTATCGACGACTGTATATAAATATATTTTTTTCGTCTCATTCTACGCACTATTGCGGTCATTCTATGCTTCATTATTACAACGAAAACATAGCGGTGTGTATGTACGCGCATACATTTATGAAGAACATAAATTGCATTTATTTATTTATTTATTTATTTTTATTTGCAACACACCCTATGAACCCAATTTTTTACTTGTTTTTATATACAATTGCAAAGAATTTTCGCGTAACCTGATAAATAGTTATATCACACTCTTCCACATAAATTCTTACGTTTATAGCATCATTACTCACTCTTGACTAACCGTATGCACAATTTTTCTCAGTATTTTCCTTATTGATGTCCGTCGTAGCTTTAGTTTTTGCTTAATTTATGTTATTATGTATTTAGGATAGTTTTTGTTGTTCACTTCAATTGCAATGATTGGAGCTGATGAAGAATATTAAAATACACGAATTGGATTTTTTGGGTTAGTAAGACCAACAACGAACCAACCAGGCAAACAAGCAAGTGAGCAATGAGTTTATAGTGCGATATGAAGACGACCGAAACGACCGATTGAAATGATGTCATCAACACAGTAATGAAAATCGACGAAGAGTTCTCACTACATAATACATGCATACATACATACATACATAATTAGAAGTGGATATAGGTAATATGAACACATACGTATATATCGTATATTTGTAAACCGATCGATGGGATGAGGTTTTACTTCAAGATGAAAAGAACAGTCGTGGATGTATTTAAGCTCTCTTGCAATAATAATTGAGGGACTTTAAAGCTTTAGATGATTTGTTAACATTATTTTCTTATTCCATATCCATGTACTGTCATGTTAACTTTGAACCTAAACACTGGGCGTTGTCTATATATTTTCAGATAATCGTTTAATTAAATATATTTTTCACTTCCTTTTTACGAATCTCTTTTCCTTCCATTTTCGTTACACTGCAAGTAAACCAAATTTTGTTTGATGACTTACCGCCGTTTCGTAAAATTTTTATGCCTTAATAAATTTGTTTTACGTTCGTTTAATTCCCCAATTTTAAATTAATCAATAAGGTTTTTCAATACGGTTTTCTTTAATACAAAATTTTAGTTTTTAAAATTTTACTTCTTCTCTATTTCTCACAATCAAACATCAACTTTGGGAAACGACAGCAAATGTACTGAAATTAAATGAAAAATTATGTATACAGAAAAACAATGATGCCAACGTTAAGAAGAAACAAGAAACAATAAATTTATCGTAAAAAGAGAACTTCAGGGCTCTATTAGGAAGAAATAAAAATCTTATTAGAGGTTTCATGCTTAATTGTAAGAAAACTTAAATTTTATTAAAAACTAAAGAACTTCTCACGAAAATGGTGGACTTGGCATAATAAATGTTCGAATGAAAGGTACATTTTTAAGTCGTAACGATGCTGAATTTAATAATTGGAGGCACTGATTATGTAAATGAATGAGATGAATATAGGAATCTTGCATTTTGAATACTTAAAATATATAATCTGGACCAGCGAAAAATTTTAAATTGATTTAAAAGTGACCACGTATTAATTATTCCACTTCTTCAAATTTCAAATTCAAGATAGATAGAGTTGAGACAAATTTGTCGAACGTTTGTGAGGCACTAAAATACAAATCTGAGTACATATAAGGTAAATATTTGGTGATAGTGGTGAAAAATTATTATCCTGCGTTCATATAGGCATTAAAGATTTGATTCAAGTCGAACTGAAGTCGAGCTGTTCTCATTTTTTCCTTTTTGTCTTTAAATTAGATAATTTCATCTACTCTGTAATTTAACTCGTTTATGAATATGTGTTAAATCCTCAAGAAGCAAATTCTTATTTGACACCTCTGATATACGGACTGATGAACATGAAAGTTTCGATTTTTAAATTATTGCTGATAAGCCAATGAAGCCATTAAGACTTACTCAGCTATTAGCTTATTATATTAGACGATTTTTCAACGTGTTGTAACGGCCGTTTGCCACCTTGATTAGTCAACGAAGGTAATATAATAATTCATTCGGTTTTGGCTTAATACCGACAAGGAAGTATGCAAGCAACTTTGGAATGCATTGCCTATATACTCGGAACGAATTGGCTTTAGACTCCCCAACACAGTTCCAACATTATTGACCCTCGACAATATAAACTGAAGATGCTTGGATTTTCTATCTTTCGCATATGCTTTCCCTGTTCCCGAGACAATTTTCGACGTACACAAAGAATTTTTTAGTTTTTTTTAACGATTCATCCGGACTTTCTATATGTTTTTCACTTGCAAAATTTATTTAGCAATTCCATCCGGCTCAACATACTTAAGTAATCGCTTGTTAGTTTTATATATTTACAATTTGATAAATAAAGAAATAAAAAAAAACCTCCTCGAAGAATTTGCGCTAGTTTGTCTTGGCAATACGCTTCAACAATACATTAATCAAATAACATCTTCCAGAACAAAGCCTCTTTTTGAAGTTACAATTTTTCATCTATTTAGACAATTTGTGACAGACATAAGAACAAATGCAACATCTGTATGTAAATTGTTAATATTACACCTTTATAAATACGTGCTATACAATTTAATGAATACCATAATCCAAACTTATTTCATCATTAAATATTATTTTATTTTAAAATTATAGTTACGTGCAAAATTTAGTACAGCCAACTGAAACTCAAAAGCAATTCAATTAAGCGCTTATTTGGTTACTCTTTTACAAATAGTTAGTAACTCATGCTTTTTATTATGCTTTTTGCAATGTTGACCACGCGTTTTTGAGTCTAATCTCTTTATTCGCGAGGTTGTGGTTGTTTAAATTGAAGGGGCATCCATATTTCTCCATATAGAAATCTTATCACATCGCGATAAGTAATTTGTCTATATGTTGCTTACATGGTACACTGAGCAGTGTCCCTACACACATTTGATATTTTATACACTTGTCATGACCGCAATAAAACTAGCCGCCGTGCTACCTTGAACAAAAAGACGCTGTTTTTTCTTCAAGAAAAAATTCGACGTCCCTTTCTTTACAAGCATTACCCATTGCTTCTCCTTTCTTCACTTATATAAAGATTCGTGCCTGTTGTAAAATGTGTATTTCTTTATTTGAACTTCTCAAGCCATATGTTAATTGTTTACATTTGCATAGATTTGTTCCTCTTCTTCCTAGAAAATAATATGGTAGCGCGGCTTGTCATTATTTTTTCTATTGGGAAATTATTTAGCCGGTAAAACACGACAACGCATCATTGTTTCAGGGCCTTTAAGTAGCTAACACAATGAAGCTTCGTATATATTCCCACATATTTAATCTGTCAATTTTATATATTTTATAAATTTATAAAATACTTATATTATATATAATAATATATATAAAAATTTATAAAGTATATTTATCTCCCATTTTATGAAAAATTTATATTTAAATACAAAATTTCCCCATCCCTGGAAATATAATTGAAGTGATGTTGCGTTAGTCCCTTTACATGTTTTCTACGTGTCATTTCAGGAAATTTGATGTAAAATTTGCTGACGTGAAATTGGTGAAAAAGGAAAACATATAATTTCGCAAAATGATGAGATAGATTTTGCAATCTTACCTGAGGACTCTTTGCTGAATGTGACATTATTCGCAAGAATTATTTATCAACTACTTAACTACATTACTTATTTGTATTTATTACGTGTAAATGTGTGCTTATTCGGTTTTGCAAGCACTTGTGTACATTAGCATTTCAAAGGCCTTAATCTATTTAACTACATTCTAAGTAAGAAATTATTTGTTTAGTAATTTCAACTCAGAAACTTTATTGTGTTCCATATGGGTTTCGAGTCTACAATCAAACATAATATCGAATGATAATGACTCTATAAGCTCCACAAAGCGTTCCACCGATAAGTTGTACCGGAAGCATTTCTACCAAATACTTGGTGAATTTAAAATCTTAAGTCAATTCAATAATTAAACTTTGTAAAGAAAATAGTAATTACATTACTTTCGGAATGTAGAGAAACTTTTAAAATGCTGACAAATTGCTTGCATAGATAGTTTGAGAGTATGTTAAATTCTAGTGATGTTATTCTATAGATTTATGGTTCATTAATCTTTTTTGCTTTGCGGCTGTATTTTGTTAAAGTCTTGTTCATAAAGAAGTACACAAATTAGCCACAGGTGGTATGTAAAGAAAACCTACTTATTATTTTCATCATTACTTTGAGCGGCACTTACTGTCGCAAATCCAGCTCTCAAGCCATTTAATGTGTATTTTAGATTGCGGCTTAGTTAGCTAAAAACGTGTCGTCTTCCATTGTATTTTTTCTAGACGAAGTTATAACAATAACATGGTTTATAAGAAAGATGTCCAATAGAGGCTTTTTTCTTACCTCGAATATTCGCATTTTATGTAAGGCATTATGAACTCGCAACACATTGAAGTTAATAAAAGAAATATATGCAACGCTCACATAACAGGCAGTTCTACAAATTAAAATACATATATATTTGTTTCAATATTACATATATTTATTTATTTATTTATTTATTTATTTAACGGCCCATCCAGAATATGATTTTTAAAAATATTTGACAGAATGTCGTGTGCTATATTTTTTTAGTATAGAAAGTCTAAAACGTAACCTATACACAAATGTTTTCAACTTAATCGTTTTCAGAACTTGAATAGTACCTATCAGAAGTGAAATTAAAATTTTCTTTATAATTCTTCACAAACAATTGCTATTAATATCCATTGATTTCATATTTACAGATCGATCGCATTTTCATCGTATTCATTGTAAAGTTTCCTATACACTTTGCATTATTTTATAAATGACTGTGCAAAAAAATTACGTAAATTTGTGTAGTCGTTTTTCGTAAGCTGTACGTATTCTTATTGTATATTTCTAGATTTAAACATTTTTGTATCTCCTTCGTTCCAATTAATAGCTACTTCAAAGTATTTTTTTGTTGCTTTCGCAGAGTTTTCTTTGCCTACGGCAAATTTCATTTTTTATTTCAATATTATGTTAGATTTCCCGCAAAATTTATTAATATTACTTATTAACCTAAAAATGAAATAATAGATTAATATGTGCCGCGAAATATGTAAATGTGTTCAGCTAATTGATTAATGATACGATACGATACGATGCGTTAATAGTTGATTAAACGATAAATATGCAGAATAAAAGAGTGGTCAGCTGTTAGGTATGAAAAAAAGTTGTTGCACCTTTTGCGTTCAATTTACTTTTGGGCTTTTCTAAGAGAAGTTTATCTATTTTTCGGAAAGAAGTTTATTTTTAATAAGTAGTAATACTTATTTGTCTTATAATTTGAACATATCCTAAAACAATGCAGGATGTGACAGCTCGAGTTTTTGCAGCCATGCAAAATTTAGATATAGCTGCTTTGTCCACATATCCACAAAATGAGATACGTCCTGTTTTGCCGGCTTTGGTGAGAATGAGCCTTCTTTCACCTCTGGATAATACGGAATCATCTATGGAGTCACGAAAGCAGATATTGGCTGTCCTAATCGGCATAGAAGTAGTTAATAGCATTGTGTCATATCTTCAAGTCAATTATCATGAGTTAGAACCAGAATTGAAAAAAGAACTCCAAGCCCGCCAAAAGTGTATGTACTTTGAAGGTCAACAATCAGAATTTGGACTTCAAACGGGTATAGCCTTAGGGTTTGAACGAGCGGATGTAACGCGTAAAGTAAGGGTAGTGCTGTCAGAGATATTCAATGTTCAATGGTTATTGACGGAACAAAAGGCAACAGTTCAATCTGAAATACTAGATGATGGTATTTATTTAGAGGAAGTAGTAGATATATTGTGTATTGCTTTAGCAGAGTTGCCGTCATTGTTGAACATATTGGAATTGACCGACACATTGGTACAAGTACCAAATGGTCACCGCATCATATGCGCCTTAGTAGCCAATTTTCCTGATTGTTATCGTGATGTGGTAACGCATGTCATAGTCAATTGTGACGAAGAATCACCAGAGGGTAAACTTAAATTGAACTTATTAATGGCTCTAAGCGAGATAAATCCTTTACAGTCTTTATCTACGCGGGCAATTTGTGTGGAAATTATGAAAGTGCCTTCGTTTATGTTGAAATTGTGCTTAAAATATCCACAAGATTTGGTTAGTTATGCACACATTCACTATGATTTTCAATTCCTAATCTTCATGTTGTTTTTGCAGATTGCTTTCTTGACAGGTATGCTTTTAGGCAATGATCAAAATGTGCGCACTTGGTTTGCGGAATACGTCCACTCAAGTCAAAAACGGAAAAGTGATGCTCTCATTTTGGTTAGAGCTGAACTATTAAAACAATTGCAGAATCTAATACAAATTTCAAATACAGCCTCAACAAATGTCGACGAAGATTTTACTGTGCAAGGTGCTGTATTAATGCGTTTGTATTGTGCCCTGCGTGGCATAGCTGGATTAAAGTAAGTTATTTCTTTTATTGCTGAAAGGGAAATATTTTAATACTTTTAATTTTTCAGATTTAATGATAGCGAAATAAACGCTTTAGCCCATTTGGTTACAAGTCGTCCGCTGCCTTCAACTTCAGGGATGCGTTTTGTTTCCTTGGCCTTGTGTATGTTAATAGCATGTCCGTCTTTAATTTCCACTACTATTTTGGAGACAAAGGCTGTTGAATGGTTACAGTGGCTGATCAAAGAGGATGCTTTCTTTGGCAAACGTGCCGATACTAGTACTTCGTTAGGTGAAATGCTTTTGCTGCTGGCCATACATTTTCATAGCAATCAAATATCAGCAATAGGTGAACTAGTGTGCTCCACATTAGCTATGAAAATACCCATACGACCTAACAGTACAAATCGTATGAAACAACTTTTTACACAAGATCTTTTTACCGAACAAGTAGTGGCTTCACATGCTGTACGCGTACCAGTAACCCCAAAACTGAACGCAAACATTCCTGGCTATCTACCCGTACATTGTATACACCAGTTATTGAAGTCGCGTGCGTTTCTTAAGCACAAAGTTCCAATCAAATCATGGATATTTCGCCAAATTTGTAATTCCGCCCGACCATTACATCCTGTAATGCCTGCCTTGATCGAGGTCTATGTAAATACATTGATTGTACCTAATCCTCAGGGTAAAGTAAATGTTGATCATATGCATAAGCCGTTCTCGGAAATTGAAATTCTTCATATATTTCGTTCCAACATTAACTGTAATGTATTAGGCGAATTTAACGCAGTTCCATATCCAAATAATAACACAGATAATGAGGAATTATCTAAATATAAGGTCCAATGTCATTTAACAGCTCAATTATTGATACTGTATTATTTGGTTTTATATGAAGATATACGCATAGCTAACTTGTCAAATGCTTCGTTGAGCGGTCGTAAATTGAAGGAGTACACGAATAACTTCCTGTCAGAATTACCTATGAAATATTTGCTACAGAAGGCACAACAATATCACAACGATTACGCTGGTATTTTTCATCCTTTGCTCCGTTTAATTATTTGTAATTATCCTCACCTGAGCATGGTAGAAGATTGGCTCGAAGAGCATTGTCTGCACAATCATCAACGTATTACGGTTTCGTTGCCTGCCACCGTTAAACAAATTCAACACTCCTTGCAAATCGTGGATTTCGATCAATTGGACTCTAAGCCTGGTAGAGCTTTGCCAGTTCTAACAGCTCTTTTGAAATTACCAGCCGAAGAATTAGCTAGAAACTCTGATTTAATTGTCAAGAATTTACCAAAGGTATTTCAACGTAAGGTGTCACGTTCCATTAAAAACGTATATCTGGATGTTTGGCTGCGTTTGAATGCGGTATTGCCAATTAGTTTTTGGCGTAAGAGTCTTACTTCTATTATGGCATCGGAAGATCATATTAATCGTTGTTCTTTCGTAATGGAAAATATGCTGGATCCACTGCAAGTGCTACGTTGCAGTCGCGAGATATTTTATTGCCCGCACACTTTGATAATATTACTGCGAATTTTGCAAGGTAGTTTAGCCGCTTCTAAGGCTCATCTAAATATACAAATGCAATCTAAGCAAATGATGGATAAAAATGGTCAAATTCAATGCGATGCGGATCGCGAAGAATTGAAAACTGCTTTAATTGCTTCACAGGAGAGCGCCGCTGTACATATACTATTAGAAATTTTGACTGACATGTATGCTCATGGCTCGAGTCGCGTGGCTGCTCTGGAATTGCGAGAAGCTCAAGGCATTATATGCTCTTTCATACACCAGTCTTTCATATCGGAACCTTCCCTCGCCAAATTAGTGCACTTTCAAACTTATCCGCGAGAAGTAATACCAATGATGGTTAAAGGAGTACCTTCTATGCATATATGTATTGATTTTCTCCATGAATTTCTAAGTATGCCCGAAATGGATAAACAAGTGTTTACTATTGACTTAACTTCACATCTAGTGCTAAAATATGCTATACCAAAAAGTTTAAGTGTCTCGAAATTTTGCATAAATACTATACAATCAGCTCTGTCTTTACTCTCTACCGAGGCTAAATGTAAATACTTAAGTCACGTACTACCAGCTCTGACACGTTTTGCCGAAGCATTTCCAATATTGACCGATGACTGCATAAATATTTTAATGCTGACCGGGCGTAGTTTATATTCGCAAAGCACATTGGGTATTAATTCAACACAAATGCAATTAACTGCTCGTTCAAGGCATAAATGCTTTAAAGAAACGCATCGTTATATAGCGATGATTGAGGAAGCTTTCGAATCACTAATAACGAAAATCATCAATAAAGTGGAATTATATTGAAAATGAAGGAAAAACACTCGCAGTAGCAAATAGGAATGCGTAAGGCTTAGGCATAAGTTTATATATTTAGAAAAAAATATATTTGTTAAGATAGATTTAAAAATGAAAACGATATTTATTATTCGTTCCAAGGGTTATAATAACCTCATAATTGTATATGCATGTACATTAGAACTTATAAATTAAAAACTCTGTTAAAACTAATAAGAATATTATATTCGTTTTAGGGCGAATTTTGAATACCCACCACATATATATAAAAAATTGTTAAGCTTTTATTGCTTTTATTTGATGAGATTGCAATCATTTTTTCATAAGGTATTTGGATGGCCCTGATCAATGTTTTAGGTTAATATCTGGCAGAGCGCATAACTCAAAAGATTGGAGCATTCGTCAGGATTCACTTAACAACAGTTTGACTTTTTATAATATTTCTTGTTTTTATGCTGCTTATTTAACACACTCTTATAACGGTAATGATACAGCAATTTGTCTAGAGAATTCATGTCATGACGTTTCGTCATAGCATTTTTATACTCTACATCACATGTGATGCAAGAATATACTAATTAGTGTTCACGTTTGCAACACCCAGTCGGACTTAAGATAGATCCATCTTTTGTTTTGCTTTCTGAATAGATCTTAGCTTGTTGGTCCATCCGGCTGCCTTGTTTTCTTTGGTTCAATCTATAGGTCGCAATTTCTAAGATATTTGGATGAACTTTTTTACATTGATATATTTCTGCCCAAGGACGAATGCTATTGAAAATGTTATCAATTTGACCATTTTTTCGACCACTTCTCATATAACACCATATTTTGAAAAGTCATTACATAAATAATTGCATTATTAGGTGTTTTTAACGTATCTTTTCAAATAGTATTTATAGATGAGAAACTTCTCTTGATAACGAGAAGTGTTTGCATCCTTTAGAGAGTATTATTGAAGGTATTCATGCAAAAAATTATTATGTTTAAACAGGCTCTCTGCACATATGCCAAATTAAAAAGGAATGGTTAAACCCATACTTTCAAAATTTCTAGATTTTTTTCATAAAATAATGATTGGACAAAGAGGTCTGAGAATTACTTAGAAAATGTTTTAAAGATGTAATGAAAATTCAACGTAATCAGTAGTATGCGTATGCTTTTTATAACTTAAAAGATATATCTAAAATTGAAATTCCTTCCTTGTACGTATGTATCATTTTATTGTCAGTTTATATGTTCGATCCTCATCGTCTTTATCTTCTCTCCCACTTTTTTTAAAAATAATTCTTTTCTGAATAAGGATCGTGCTATATGTGCAATTCGAGATTAAATATCATGTTTTATAAAATTGTCACATATTCCCGTGTTATTGTATAAATAAATTTATCTATTTTACTGTAAAGTTTGTACTTATTTTGCAACTTAAACTGCTGTCTCACAATCTGCTTTAGAGCATTGTAGTCATTTGGGTCAGTGTTTAGCTATTTGAAGCGGTTAGGCAAAGCGAAACTTATAAGCTAAAACACTTTATTAAATAAAACGAAAAAAAGTAGATTTATTCTGTATTTTCAAAAAAATCATTCTCTGTCGTTTCCTCCGGCTCAAGCATTATTTTTGTTACAACATCCGTTATACTTTTGATTGCCATTAATTGCTTTCGTTGGTCCATGTCGCTCATTAAACCAAGAATCATTTGGCCAAAACCTCTGAGAGACGTATTTTTAATTTCTACTTCTTTTTTAGGTGTTTCGACGGTACCGATGATGGGTTCATTGTCCGAATCGGTAACCGTATCAATAATTGCATCGGTATTATCCATCTTAAATTCTTCTAGTCTTTTCTTTCTCTTTCTCTCTGGCGGTTGCTCAGCCGGCGATTCCGTAGGCGATGTTAATGGCAACGATTTAGCAAATTTTGGAAAAGTATCACTCATTGAAGGCTCCTCGGAGAAAGGACTTTTACCTGGTTCGAAATCAACGCTCACAATATCATAAGAATAACGATTTCTAATAATTGGATAGATATGCTATATAAATATTACATTTGAACATTTCTCATTGATGGTTATACTCACGGACGAGAAATTATATGCGGAGCTAAAAATTCCATTAAATCGAGCAGCGGCCATGGCCAATCTTGTAAAGTTTCATCAGGTGATAGTGAGCGCATCTTTCTTTTCAATCTCACATACTTATCACGCAAAGTGGTCCATCGTCTCATGCACAATTTATCTGCATTAAAAACCAAATTTCTACGTCAATAAGTGAAAATAATCACGCTGGAAATAAATTTATAATTGAAAAACAAAGTGAATAATTCGCTCTCTTAGCCTCTTTCTTTTTATTAAAACCTCATGACAGGACACACAAAGTTATGATAAATACACAAGAGAGCTATGTTATCCTACAACTCAATATTAGACGCTCTTAATAGCAAATTACATTTTTTTTCTTTATTGTGCAGTTCCTTAAGGAATAAGGTGGCGTAACTTTAGACCAAACTTGATACCAACTTCAGCAATGATTTCCAAATTATTGACTGTAATGTTTCGAAATTTTCAACTTCTTATACCCTACACCATAAGGATATATTAAGTTTGTGCGGATGTATGGAAAACATAGAAAAACTTGAATTAGACCCAACTTTTATAGTACCGATCAATTCAGAATCACTTTTAGAACCGATTTCATTTTGTCTATCCACGTTGTTCTCTTGTGTTCAATTTACACAACACATGATGAAATGTGGTACATTTACGTGTTTAGCTCCAAGGACGAACGCTATTAGAAATGATTCGCATAGGGCCACTTTTTCGATTACTTCCCAATTAACGCCTTATTTTGAAGACTCACTGTATGAATGACATTGGGGCGATGTAAGGTATTTGAGGCTGGGCCCGGGACCACTATAAGATCTTTACTTGTTAGTACAAACAGACAATCGGATTAGTTATCGAAAAAGTTAATAAGCGATTCAATTGCGGATTATATATACCCATGGGAGGGAGTGCTATTCACGTGTAATGAACTTTATGTCAAATTATAAGCGTATCTTTCTTAATTAATTTGAAACTGTGTTGAATCTTTACATACTCGCCCATGGCATTTTCATTTAAATAGAATTAGATGTATGTAGGGAATAAATGATTTGGGAAAAAACGAGTATTCTTTCTCTTGTTCTCTATCACATTTCTATCTTACCTGATATTCCCATTTGTTCGCCAATTCTGCGCCAAGCTTCCATCTTCCTATGTTGAATTTTAAAATAAGGGTGATGTTTATTAAACAAATATTCGTACTGTTTTACCAAATGTATGAATTTTTCATCATCCATTTTGATTCTGGAAAAAAAAATTAGTTAATTACCTATCATGCAAATTATTTTTCGTAAATTTATGACGGCAGTTATTAAATTAAATAAATTCGAAATATTTTAACAGAAGTCTCGATCAATGAAGTGGTACCGTGCGGTGCGGGTAACGTAGCGCAGGTAAAACTGCGAGAAGCAACTTTTAAGGCAGATAATGTGCATTGTTTTGATTTAATATGCTTTTCATAATTAAATTTTTTTTATTTTACCTCAATATTTTAGCAGAATTGAATACGAAATGTGTGCAAAAGCTTAACAATTCCTTTGTCAATTAAATCAGCTGTGATATTCTTTTGTACTTGTTTGCGTTGAATGTGAGACTGCGATACGCCATGTTACTTTAAGAACAGTTGACAAGTCAATCATGAGGTTGCAAGTCATAAATCGAAGAGAAACGACGCTTAAGGAATGAAATGGAATAACGATACTTTGCATGTATTACCGCATCACTCACAAATATAAATTGTATTTTGTGAAAAAATAAATTATGTGATGACAAAAGCCGTTTGGATTAGAATTTCTATAGTCTTAATGCTGTACACTGTTATTTGAATTGTAATTAAAAAGTTAAAATCATTATACGGTTTTGTTCATGGTCGACAATTACCTCGTTGCAATAGGCCTTTTCACAATTATTTGCAAACTGTTTAAAGCTTTTTGATGAAAAGTTTTAACAGATAAAGAGGGATTATGGAAATGGGTAAATATACGTAATTACAATGTAAATAAGTTTTTGTTTCGATTAACCTCTGATTATAAATATAACATAGTCAAATAAATTTGTAGGCAAAAAAAGGAAAACATAGACTTACACGTCTCAATTAATGCTAGAAATAAAAGCAAATTGATGAAAGAATTCTGCCAGCTTATGGTGACATGGTGTGATGTCATGCTTAATTGCTTAAATGAGTGGTTAAATTTAGCTGATCTCTATTTGACTGGATTTTTTTAAGGCATAGGAACTGTTGACTACATTATAGAAAAGATATTAATCACATTTTCACATTCCTGACCGTGCATGTAGGAGTATATAACAAGATAAGATAGTGCCGTCAGAGCTTCATATTTACCACCTTAGTATGCTCTTTTCTGTGCCTGCACTGTCATCAGATTATAATTATCGAGATAATGTTTGACTTTGTTATTTATTATAAAGCTTCACTTCCATACGAATATAGATGTATGGATGTCGTTGCTTCTTGGATAATTGTTCTTACCTTGTAATTTGGAGATTATGCACCTTGCACATTTTAGTAATACAATTAACCAAGGTATAAGCTATAAGCTGTTGAATATTTTATATGGAAAATCATAACATTTTATTTTAATAATAATAATATTGGGACAGCTTTCTAAACATAAATATATTATTTTACATTTCACTTTTAAACTTTAAATGTACATGTACATATTGGACTTGGAAGTTAGTAAGTTGTTTTTAACTTCAATGCAGAATTAGAATTATTAGATACGAATGTTCCTTACAAGCAATATTTATGGGAAAAACTTGAATCGTGTTCGAAAATAAAGGAGGATTTATTCGGTGATTTCAAAGAAGTCATTTTCCATACCTTCTTCCGGTTCAAGCATTATTTTTGTAACGATATCTGTTATAGCCTTCATAGCTATTATTTGTTTACGTTGATCCATTTCACTCATTAGGCTAAGAATCATTTGACCGAAACCTCTCAAAACTGGGCTCTTTATTTCCCATTCTTTTTTAGGCGAATCGATCGGATCAATGACAACCATATCAATTCTCTCTTTTTCTGGTTTTCTCTTCTTTTTTCTCTCCGATGATTCGATTTGTTCAATGGGTGATTGTAGTGGCGACGACTCTGCGAATTTCGGAAATGTATCACTCATTGAAGGTTCGTCGGCAAATGGAATTGTAGTCGGTTTAAAATCAACGCTCATAATGTCGTAGGAATAACGACTGGAAGCAAAGAAAATTCATCATATAATTTTGAGTATTTTGAAGTAGTTGTTTCACTTACGGGCGAGGAACAATATGTGGGGCTAAAAATTCCATTGAGTCAAGCAAAGGCCATGGTATGTCTTGTAATGTTTCATCAGCTGGCAGTGAACGTAGCTTTCTTTTTAGTTTTACGTATCTGTCGCGTAAAGTCGCCCAACGTCTTATGCATATTTTGTCTGTAACGAAAGCAGAACATTTAAACTTATCTTATGATCAAACAGCAATAGGTTTAACTCCAACTCCAACTTTTTGTCTAATAATAAGTAACGCTTGCGACACACATTAACACTAATAATTAAGCATTCGTAATTTCTTTGAGGAGTTGGTCATGAAAATCGGTTGATAAGGACGCGTTGAAAACAAATAGGGTAATTTCAGAAATTAAACCATTTTCAATGACAAAGTGAATATTCGTATAATACTCTCAATAGAGTATATTCATTTGGGTTTTCGCGAAAGTGAATAAAGGTAGTTTTAAGCCATTCTGTCTACTTCTCGTATGGATTAATATGTTTGATGAAAGTTTGCTTTTAGTCAAATACAATCTGAATTCTCTCTTTCCTTAAAGCTAAGTAAAACTACTTAGATCAGAAAGCATCGCGCATCGATTGTTCTAGATATTTCTATATACAAAGTAAAAATTCAATCGACTTCAATTAATGTCCTCCTTGTTAGTTATAGAAAATTACTGCACTGTTTTACCTGAAATCCCCATTTCTTCCGCAATTTTACGCCAAGCCGTTTCTTTTCTATGCGGAACTTTAAAAAAAGGATGATGTTTATTAAATAAATATTCGTACTCTTGCACCAATTGTATAAATTTTTCGTCATCGAATTCTACTATACACTTTTCTTCATCCATTTGAAACCTACAGAAGGAAGAATTTTGTCTAATAAATCTCTTATTTATACTTTTATAAGGGCTATGCGTATTTACTTGTTTCAATCGTTATATAAAATGAAAATCAAAAATTTATTATAGAAGTCCCGATCGTTGAAATGGTGCCTTGCCGGCCGTGGGAAGTAACGTAGCGTAGGCGATGGCTGGTAGGTGTGTCTAATCAACTGAAAAAATGAACGTTTAATTAATTCTACAAATGTACTCTTTATAACTTTTTTCCCGGAATATCTACATCAAATATAATTCGCTAAAGTATAATAAAAGATGTTCAGCCTTACTTCAATTTGTTAAATCGTTGTAGTTGTTTACATTTTTCTTCGTTGAACATGAATGAGCTTCACTATTTTTGTTACTTTTCTTTTATCCAAACACGGTAAACGAAATCAAAATACAAAAAAGCACTAAAAAGATGAAAAATGGAATAAATCGCTGGCTTGTATGCACGCAAAACAAAACTTTATGTCTCAAAAAAGTGCTCCATACGAACGCACAGCAAATCCTATTCTCAAAAAGCACGACAATAGCAAAAAGACCTCAATAAAACAGCAAACTAAATCAAATACAAAATGAATCGAAATTAAACGAAATAACAAACTCATACATTTTGAAGGGAATAAGGTGAAATTAGAAACAGTAAATTAATTATGTTAGACAGAAATTGTAAAAATATATTCTGTCTGTCTGATAGATAAATCAAACTTTTTTTTAACATTCATTGTAAATATTCTTTAAATATTGGCCATATAACAAAAAATTTACTCTAGAATTATTTTCGATGTAAATATTATAGCATATCTAGATATGTGTTGTTTTTAAAAAAGTAAATTTTTTCGGTTAAGAATGACAAATACTTATGTATATAAATACACTTATATATAATTCTCGTAAGACATAATAAGCTAGGCTTGATAAGCAAGCCAGGGCAATAATCGCATGTAAAGTGTAACACTTGGTTACGTTTTCAGCTGTTTTTGCTAAACAAAGCAAAGCTTTTATGTGCAGTAATCTAAGTTTTTATACGTATAATTGCCATAGTTTTTAATTAATTAATTATAAATATATATATTTATACATATGTGAAATTTGGTTTTTCAATGTGTTTGATATACCGTTGTCATTTGGAACACAAACCGAGCGACTTTAGACACAAACCAGGCAGAAGCAGAATTATGGAATGAAACAAAGCCGGAAATGTCAATCTTCTATATAGATTATGATTATTATTATTACCTTAGGCAGAGAAATAAATTCTCGAGAGTAAAATCTTTAAAAACTAGCATGATTGTAAGGCAATTGGCTTTATTGGAAACTTCACTGCACTTGAAATTTGAAGTCGTGATTCCTTGGCTTCGGCCACTCAAGCGGATTTGTATAAGAATTGTTGCGTGCAGTATTGTTCACATTTGAAGAAACAGTAGCAAAATAGATTTCCAGATTGTTCCAACAATTAACAGATCTGGGTTTAAAGAGCAAAAACTTGGTTTTACAAGCTTTGTAGGCAAATTATTAAGACATATGCGAACAGGATATATGCAGAAACATGAAAAATTAGCAAATCGCGTATCCTTTACGTTTATTCGTGAGGAAGCCGATAGTTGATATACGTTTTCGTTTGCTTCACGTAAAACTATCATATTATTTTCGGTGCTATCAGTCATTGTGAGAAAGGAAAACAGGAAAAACGGCCCAACCAAAAAAAATTTACGGTAAGACATCTTATTTATTTATTATTCGCGTCGTTTGCATACCAAGCAAACAAACAATATGTTTTTGTTGTTGCTTTTCTACTGCAGCTCTGCACAACCAATAATAGTATAAGACGTGGGCTATTTAGCTTTCGTCCACTTTGACAGCTTTGAGAGAGTGCGTCTAAGAGCTGCTATGCAAATGCAAAGAAAAAAAACGAAACGAAAAACTATGCTGAACGTAATTTTTGATCGAAAAACGGAAGCGTGGAAACGCAAGTACTCTTCGGGATGAGAGCAGAAATTTAAAAAGAAACAAAATTCTTTAATCTCCTTAGCTAAATTGTTCTTGATAGCGGGTTTATTTACAACTAGCGAACATTTCCAAAATAGACGATAGTACTTTCAGTACTCGCCGTTATGGTTATTAATCGGATTGTGGATTAAGGTTATTAAATCTTAAAAATTCGAAACGAACACTTTCTATATTATATAATCCTGCCGTTTTCTTTTACGCGCGGCTTAAAGCTTACGGGATGAACCGGCTGTAAAGTAACAAATCAATTTTGTTAATTAATTTAATGAAACTGCAGTTAACGCATCACATTGATTAATAAGCGAAATGAAAAATCAAAAACGAAAATATTTTGTTTATTTATTAAGGTTATAACGTAAGAAGACCGGCAAAACCAACGCAAAAAAGCCACCAAATTGCGAAATCTGCCCCTACTACGCGATGTAACAAAGTAAACCGAAAATTGTTTTAGACACACAAACACACATACGCACTATTAATCGGATGTTAATTAACTAAATAAAAAACGTCAATTTTATTTATAAACTGAACTTTTCGTTCATAAAGGAGCAAACGCCTGCTGTTGAAGAATTTAAAAAAAAAAAATTTAAAAAATTAATAAAAACTATATTTTCACTTGTTCATCTATAATTTAAATAAAGTTCGATAGAAAACTACATTTTATATGAAAATAATGCAGATTCATTTAATATCTAAATTCAAATGTTTGAACATTTTTCAAAGTATTATTATACCCACTACTGTAAGATGGGCGATGTATTCATTGTGTTTTTTTCTATGTAACACTCAAAAGGATGCTTCAGAGACCTGAAGCATGCTTTCCTGATCGGTGTGGAAATCTGATTTAACTATGTCTATCCGTCTGTGTGTCTGTATGGTGTGTGTTGTTGGCGCTTTCCTGATCGCAAAAATGAAGATACCGACTTCAAATGTGGTAGAAACATTAGAAGTTTCTGCACGCAGGTTGGTATTGAAACTTGCTCATATCGGTCGGAGCAAGACCACGCAGTGGAGCGTAAACTGAACGCAACTCCAATTTTTTTAACAAAAATTTTTGGATTTTTGCTGATACTTTATTAGAGGGGGTTCGAAAAACTGCCCGAACCGGTCCGAAATTTTCACACCAATTTAGAAAGCCGAAATTTTATTACTTAGCCACTTTTGTCAAGAAATTCTGAAAATTCCAATTTTATATAAAAAATTCGACAATTGTGAAAAAGAACGAAAACAATTAAGAAAATTATATTCCATCCAATTTTTTATACCATCCAATTTTCTAATAAAATAGAATATTCCCGTATGTACTGTTAAAATTTATAAGTAAAGTATATAAGTGAGCACCCATTTTTTATTTTTAAAAGTGGCCTGCGCTTTGATCGATTTGAATAACAGCCTGTCTGTAGGACTCTTTTCCAATGTTTTTTCCAAATTTGAAACCGATGTTTTCACTTTCGCGGGTAAGCAAATGTTTAAAACAGTTATTATACAAAGTGAGGCACACATACATGTCTACATACATCTTTACATGTATTCAGAATTGAATGTTGATCAAGAAGGTCTATAATCTATGAGGATTCGTTAGCCTCCTTTCGGGTGTCGTAAACATTTTAATAAAGTGAATATAACCACCCGCGCTGTTGGTAAAAAGAAAAAATTCCTTACAACGAATTATATTTAGCTTAAACCGAATTTAACCACTTACTAATTGTTGGTACTTTAGGCAGTCTTTTAATAATATATTCAGTGTTTGCCAATATGTATACCCATGGGGCAGATAGTGTCAGTTACAAGCAAAATGTTCAGAGCCTTTCAATGTTTGACACTTTTAATATACTACATATACACCATCTACTATATATGCCTAAAAAAAGTACTTTGCTATAGAATCATTACGGTGTTATCTAGCACTTTAATTTTGTTTTCTCTTAAAAATCTTTTAAAACTAAATTATTGACAATATTTTTATATTTAGGTTAATGCGTTATATTTAATTTTAGTTAAGATCAAAATCATGTTAGAATACGTGAATGCATGTTGTTCGTAGAGAATTTTTCGTTATTATAACAACTTTCATGTGTAGAGGTATATACATATATGCTTTTATACACTAAGAATCCTTGCACTACTGTTCCATGTTTCAAATTTTAAATTTAAATTTAGGACAAAGTTAATGTGATGCGCTTGTAGTGTTGATTGATTTTTATGAAATGATCTTATCGATCGACACATTCGAAACTCTAAAACATATTTCACATCAATGTTAATTTAAAATACAAATGTCAGCGACGTTTCCGAAATATATATTATGCGATATTAATATTAATGTTGCAACTTAAGCGTAAAAATAATGTTTAGTTTATTAGTGTCTAAAAATTAAATATTCTTTAAATGCGATCGCATCTTTTAGGCAATGTTTTCTTCTTTTTCTGCTGTATTTCAATTTCTCTGTTCCTGCATAGAGCTGGCATACCTCAAAATGCCTCATGTCCCTAAAATCCCCATACCTATGGTTGCAAATTAATTTTGAGGTAACCATTTCTCTCGATATTGCGAGAAAAATGTTATTACTGGTAACTCTTTTTGCTTGGGCGGTAGTGGTTCACAAGCTCGACTGTAAAATAAAATTATTAATTTTAGATTAGAGGAGAAAGAAAATTAAATAAATATAAAAAGGGCGAGAGAGAATACAAAAGCGCACACGTACATACTTGTGCAGTGCGAAATTATTAAACAGTAAGTGCGAAAATAATAATAAACAGTAAGACTGCACTATATAGCAGGAAAAAAATCAATTAAGAGTGCAAATTTTTTCTTTTTAATCATGGTTTTAATGTAAAGTGGCAGCAGCAGCAGCAGCAGCAGCAAGCAACACAACACCACCAGCAGAAATAGTTGGTTGGTTGGTTGTACTGACTGCGTAAAGAAAATTAACATCTCTACATATATTACTATTCTATTGAAGGGGAGTAATTAAGAGATTGTGTATACGGGTGTGTATAAGCGTGTGTGTGTGTGTGTGTACAAAGTGTTATGATTAATATATAATTATTAATTGATGACAAAAAAAAAAAAAGCAAAAAAAAGAGAAAAAAATGTGTTAAAATTGACAAATAAATGTGAGAGTAAAGTGGAATAGAATAGACATTGCGAAATCTTTCGATCATTCACTTGGTCCAGACACATGAAAATCATCAATCGTTTAAGAAAACTTGTGTAGTTGAACGTTTTATTAAAGGCTTTCTTTTGTTTCTGCGCAAGAACAGGAGAAAATTTCAAAAAAAGAAGTGGTGTTTTCAACATTAATTTGCGTACATATGAAGGTAGATGTTTTCTCGCCTGGTGGCTTTCTTGTTGGGTTTTTTAATATGCAAACGAACATACCGCAAACGTTTATTCCAAGTTCCGATCAGAAATGGTTTGCACTTGTTTGAATGTTGTGCAATATCTTTATACAATTTCTCTATATGAAATGATCACAATTTCTAATCAATAAATATAAGCATTCCATTTCTTTATTGTAATGTGTAAACTTTAAATTAACTCGCACTTTAAAACATAGCATTGTGTATAACAGGACCACAAAATACATAAAAAGTGTAAAATATTTTGTGAAAAGTTAACTTCAAAACTAGCAACACCCATGTGTTCATTTATATTATACATATTACAGATTGGCTATTTCAGCTGGAATTAAAAAAAAATATCTCTTTATATAAACTATTAAGCAGATTTAATAGCTAACAAATTGCAAACTATGAGGAATCAATTATTTAGTTTGGAACGAATTTTGGGTAACCAGAAAGAAAGTGTCGACAATCGTTCGTTAATAGTGTACGGGTTCGGTCGATTGCAAATCGATTCCAAATGTTACTTCAATATACTTGTACTATTTGTGTCACAAATACGCTAACAGACCATGTAATGTGTTTAAAAGGATGCGGGAATATTCGCAAGAGCCATCTGAATTTTCGAATTAAAAATGATGCCGAACGGTTGAGTAATACGTCCAACGCACATTAGCGACCTCTTCAACTGGTTACGAATAGATTTGAGTTAAACATTTTGCGTTATTTGTGAACATTTTAGTAATCCGATCAAGGCGATTTTTAAATCGATCAAGACTGGTTCTCCAAATTTTTGCTTGGCAGATTCTCACTATAGTTAGTTTTTCGAAGTTTTGTTAGTTTCTAATCTATTGTGGGCGCGTATGTAGGCAACTATAACCATTTTATAACCTTGCATTCGTAATCGATGAAAGAATGTTTGTGCGAAAATGCAGCTTCTTATCCCCATTTTTTCGGCCGGTGCAATTCAACAAAAATTGTGTGGGTCAAATTGACACATTTCGGAAGAATTGGGTATATGCAAAACATCGGTAAAAACGTAGCATTGAATTACTAACGAAACATGATGAATATGCATTGTCGAGTAACTTTGGCTTTATCTTACATAATATATTGGGCCTAAAAAATAGTTCATGCCAATAATCTCGCCTAAAAAGTCGACCTAAACTGTTAAGTGCGTGTTTCTGCAAGGTTAGAATGCCACTTCTGCTATAGTAAATGTCGTCTCAGCAAATTCAATTTTTGGCTACAAATAATTAAACACAAACAAATACGCAAGTAAAGTTGACTTAGAGTGTAACAACATTATTTAATACACGCCTCTAGTTTCTGTTGAGATAAAAAAATTTTTCCAAAAAATTAAAGCATCTATATCATACTTTTTGCCTATGAATGAATTCGCCGACCATCGTTTAATATGTAACAACAAACTATGGGTATACGATATTTAACATCACGCTTTTGTGTTTGTAAAATTTGATAGCATTCATTTGGCAACAAACAAGCAAACAAATTAAAAACTTTTTTATACACTATCTTCATTACATATGCTTTATGAGTAATTATCGGCAAGCATTTCAGCCAATTTAGCTAGTTGCCTGTCTTGAGTTTAAGATTTTAATAGCGAAAAATTAAACACTAGCTTAACGTGATCGTTATTTAAGAGAAGAAAACGATAAAAATTGGTCTTCTGTTATGTATGGAGCGAAATTGTTTATTTTTAAATTAACCATGATGGGAGTGATTAAAAATTTCGTATCAATAATATTCCGCTAGAAAACATTTTAAAGTCATAGTAATGAAAGGATTTCAAGCCGATGTTTAGCAAAGGCCGTAGAATAGGTTAATTAATTTCTTTTATACAATTTATGACATCCTCACCATCTATTTCTTATGTTGCAAACACTTGATAAATCGAATATATTCTTTGGAACGGTTATAGGAAGCAATAATCTAAAATGTGTATGTGTTTATATATAAAATGAAAACTGCGAGAAAAGTTCGAGAGAAATGAGATATGTCCAACATTTTCCACTAAAGATTCCAGCTATCAATATGTTTTTATTTCAAAAACATACGGATTTTATAAATGATATAGTGCAATCCTTTTTATTTGATATTAAAATCAAAAAAAATTGATATCAAATTAAACCTCCATTATAATCTGCGTGCTACATTAAGATACTTCATCTTAAAAATGCGAAAAGAAAAGAAAGGAAAAACGCAAAGCTCTCGTAAAGATGGCGAAGGAAATAGTTGAACGTTTTTCCAATTGACATGAAACAGGATGCAATCTATCGCGACCATTTTTTTAACCCCATCTTTTATATAGTGTTTAACGAACAATGTTCTGCCTGCTTTTATTCATTTCTGCCATTGCTATTCTATGTCTATGTATTTAATAAGCATGTTCGATATAGAAAAAGCCGTGAAGAATGAAAGCAGCATATGCGCTTAAAAAATGAAAATGTGATATGTAATTAATTATCTACGTTTTGCTGGATGAACTTTTTAATTTAATTTTGATAAGGGAAAAATACGGTTATGTGGATGCAATGCAAATGAAAAAGTAATACGCGTGGTACTCGCCGTAAAATTTGACATTGGTGGCATATTAAACTAAGGTCGCAGCACGTTGTTAACAAAGTTTAATTAAGGTTTGCACGAACTTTTGTTAATCTCGTTCTTTTTGTTTTTTTCTCTCAATACTAATCATTCATCGTTATATAAGGGAACATTTTATTTATAAATATTGTTCTTATAATTACGATAACGGGTGCTCGTGTCAGTGATGTCAAAGTGGATTGTTCTTGTGTTTGGATTTCATATAATTTATAATACAATGCAATAAAATAAAATATTTTCTGATTGCGCAAATAAAATTATAAAGTTATTTTGTTGAAAGGAAACAAGAAATATAATCAATTTGATATATACTGTACGTAGACATTGCCGAGGGTTGCCATTTATATGCATGTGTAAGAGATTACTTGCGTATATGACAAATTGCCGTTTCCTAAAGAGAGAAAGTAATATCGTTACATTGCTAAAGGGAGATACCAAAGGGCAGACGTAGATTATTGCAACTGAAAATTTGTACGTTTTACTATCGTCTCATTTTGAAAATTGATTTCTGAAAATATTCAGACATTACTTTTTCTAAAAAAAAAAGAAAAGAACGTCAAATTTCAAATGAATAAGAAGACTTCAGGGCGAAAATCCAATGCAGACAGGATATTTGTGGTGTTTTTGTTCCACTATAAAGAATTCCAAGTGCGAACGCAATTTCATATAGAATTGCTTCAATTCTAAACATCTGTGCGAATAATACCAAGTTTTTGCTTCACGAATAAAAACAACCATATCAATCGTAAATACAAAACATATATTATTATAAACGGAAAAGCGATGGAAAAAGGGAAATGTATTAAAGATGTGAAAGAATTGTTGAAAAGGAAATTAGGATAAGATGGGGAAAAATATGAATGAGTAAAAAAATATTTGAAAGAAAAAAACACTATAGAAGGTAATGACCCATCATTAAATCTCCACCAGCACGTCGCGTCACTTCGTTTAACATAGGTACTGACATAACGCTTTTTGAAAATAAAGTGCAAAGCAAAAATTACAACCTGTAGGCTGAACACAAATTTATCAAACATACGGATAGATAAGGCTAGATCGATTCAGAAAGTGAAGGGATCTATCTCAAATCTTTCGTAGTGCTGCATACATCCGCGTGCACTTAATATACCTTTGCACCGCAAATGGTGTAGGATATAGTGTTTTATATATTTATACATTAGAAATTTATTCAATGGGTTTTTTTTTTTTTTTACTGTTGTTTATTTTAGGTTTGATATGGTTTACGCAAGTGAAGCCAAGTTGACAATAATGGCTCTGTATGAATTCTACATCGTTTTTTGTCGAAAACTTTATCCGCATTCTACAAGAAATGCGACATAAACGTCACTATTGTGAAGGGTTATGTATGTATGTCGTCTTATTAAGATAACTTAACAATTGGTACCACAATCATATGCTTCATTAAGTGCTTTAATGTTTTTACAAAGTGTAACTAACATAAAAACATCACTTTCTCTTTCTATAAATAGAACTATTCATGTTCAGGCATATTAAAAACTATGTTTGTACTTTTTCAAATAGTAATAGTAAAAAGCATAGGTAAAACAAACGTATTCAACTCTTTTTAAATAATGGACCATTTTATATCAATACCAATTATTAAAACGAATAGTTTTGGGTACCATCAATAGAATATACGTTCAGGTATATATGAGAAACGGATACTGTGCATCTGCATAACATTATGAAATCGATAGTAGCAAATTATAGAAGCAATTTTATTATAATTTACTCATTTAATAG